GCGTATGCTAACTTAGGTTTAATAGGATTTATGAACTTTTAAATTTAATTTATATTAATTAATTAATTATTTATTTATTTAATTATTTTTTATTTTATTTATAATTAATTTTAATAGAATCCAGTAAATATATTTGCTGATTATGTAAATAATAATAAAAATGAAGACTTTTGTAAGGATTTATTTTTAAGTTGGCAAAGTCGAATTAAAGTTTTTCCCAAAGATTTTAATCGAGTTGTTAAAAAAATAAGTGATTTTAATGTAATTCATAGATTAGATCTTGCCAAAAAGTATCTCAAAAAATTTGTTACTTGTGCCGATATAGAAAATGAAAAGGATCTTATAATTATCAATGAAAATCAATCAGTTATTTTAAAATGTGCTGATAAAATTGTTGGAGGAGTTATCCGTGATGTAGCAAAAAAAAATGTTGCAAATCATTTTGGATATAAAATGAAAAACACAGTTGATGCTCATCCTAAAATAAATCGTGGACAAAAAACCCATGCAGATTCTGGAAAATTAGTCGGTCATGGTGTTCATGCAAATTTTTTAGATCCATCTTCAACTAGTTCATACGTATATAAGGAAAAAAATATTGATCCTGAAACACAAAGGATATTAGATCAAGATGGAAATGAATTTGGAAAATGGCTTTATGAAAATGCCAATGATCATTTACCGTGGTCTGTACTATCTTATGAAGCATTCAAACAAAAAGTAAATTTGAATGATGATAAATTAATAGGTGCAGTATTTTGTGCAAAAAACTATGAAGCTGCAGGACATCGGGATAATGATCGATCAGAATTTGCAGTAGGATTTGTTTTTGAAATTGGTTTAGTTAAAGAAGGATATTTCATTTATCCAGAATATGGTGTTGCTATTAAGATGACATCAAATTCAATATGGTGTTGGCAAACACAAGCTGTACATGGTACAGCTAAACTTGATTTAAGTGAAGGAGGTGTTCGATATACTAGTGCTATAACTTTAACTGAAAAAACTGCAAGAGCAATAGAAAAAGAAGCAGTAAGTATAAAAAATTAGATTTTTATTATTACTAAATAAATTTTTCAATAAAAAAATTATTGATCAGATTTTATTAAATAAAAAATTACTAAAAATTAAAAATTTATAAACTTAACTTGAGTTGAGTCGATACATAGATCCAAACTCTAGAAAAAATACGTAACAAAAGAAATAACGTGACAAAATATTTTTTTTTAAGAAAAGATTTATTAATAAAAAAATTCAAATTGCTTAAACAAATATAATGACTTCGTAAAAAATGACCTTTAAACCAATCTGCAAAAACTTAAATATGAGTTATATTAGAGATGTCTGAGTCTTATCGGACTATTGGACCAATTCAGGACCAAGTTTCAAATTTAGGATCAGGTTCTGATAGGATCCTGATATAGGACTAGAGTCTGGTGGTCCAGGACTCAGACTTTAACAATCCTAAGTACAATATTACAATTCACATATAATTTATATAAATAAAATATGAATAATTACAGTAAATGTTATAGTAAAGGTCACATCAATCATGACGTGACCTAGGTCATATCAAGTGACCATTGGTCACAAAGGTCACGTCACTTGGTCATTTTGGATGTGACCGTCATGACTAATGACCATAAGTCACATCCGAAATGACCGGTGTCATTTCAAAAAAAGTAAAATGACCCGGTCATGTGCCAACACTGCCTATAACTGATAATAAATCTGCTATGGTTGTATGTGGTCGTGAGATAACAAGTCAAATTCAACAAGATTTTAACGCTTTGGCTTTTCGACATTTATAGGTGTTCTGCATATATCCTTAATTTAGGAGCAAAGCAAGGATTATAGTTGATAAAGAAATAATTAATATTAGAGTGTCAATGATCAAACTTAAAAATTCAACATTAATGTGTGATGCACTTCGTAATTTTTGTCGATTAAAATCAATTCATTTTCAGATGCCTGCACGTGATGTGGAAACATGGTAGAATTCCACATATTATGTGTTACAACGATTTGATGCATCTATTAGAAGTTGAATATCCAATAATAAAAGATTTGCAAGTTTATTAAATACAAAATAGAATTTATGAAATTAATAAAAATACCTTAAACCATTATATCCCATATCCTAAGCTATGGTCGAATATTTTCCACTGGGCTTGATATCACATTTATAGTAACGTATAAGGTGGAAATGCTTGACTTGCTAGCAACAGTTGTCCAAGCAGTATTCATAGAAATAGATCCGGGTTTCTATAGGTTTAATAATAATAATAAAAAGTATGTCAAGAATTTATTATAATTAATAAAGTTTGATGCTCACCTTACCCCATTTCCTATGGCTACTGTATCTGCATAACGTTTCCCATATTAAATCCAAGTAAAGCTGGTTACGTTTTTGATTGCTTCTTCCTTCTTCTTTCTGAATTTCTTTAAGCGTTTTTTTTTTATGAACAGAATTGTTAAACTGTCATGCTAGTGATTCTAACAACAGGAGAAGTAGAAAACTAGATGTATTGGATGTATGATTCCTCAAGAAAAATTAGGGTGTTGATTCTTCCTTTGAAAACAGGCAGTGGGATGAGTAACCATAGACGCAGCACCATTTCTTGAATTAGTATAGTGAAGGAGTACTTGATCATGATGTTTTTCCCATGGAGCTGATGAAGGAGTAACAGGATTAATTCTTTAGTTAAGGTGTTTTGACAAATAGTTTGATTAAGCCATTTTTCGTTTTCTTGCCTTTTTTTGTGTTCGTAGTGATGGTTTAACATACGATTCTTCCTTTTGAATAAAATGCGGAGGCATATCATTGGTAATCATAATTTCAACAACCATTAATTTTACAGTCATGGACGGATCTTTACTATTTCCATCCATGGTTTCATATTGTCTCGTTATGTCGATTAGAATCTGATCAATATGTGAATTGTTGTAATCCAATTTTGTTTTCTTTTCTCATACTAAATATCCGATCTCATCTGAATGTGGAACACGCGAAGTAGGAGGTCCGATACTAGGTCCTCCCAATGGTAATAAGGGAGTTGGTTATTCACCAGCCGTTGCTGCAGATTTCGTTAAAGCGTTAACAAACGGAGGATCGGGCGCATTTGTAATAGGAGCAGATACAGCATGTTGACTTGTAGTGTCTGTTGGTGCACCATAAATTTTTGGCGCTCAATCTGGGAAGATTGTGCTCGTTAATGATCAAGATAACTTTGAGATAGTGAATCATTAAAGGAAGCAGCATTATTGTAAAATAGAGGTGGTGAATTAAGAGCTTGCACACGAGAAGACAAATTTTCATTATTAGATATGAATCCGTCTATTAGTCCCCATGCATTATTTGTTGAGTTCAGATCCCCACTAGTTGCCCAAAAACGCTACCAAAATGATATCTAGTAAATGGTGTATTTTTGTACCTAAGTCGTTCCATCAAAAGGATGAATCATTGTTGATTATTATCCAAAAACGACTGTGTTGTACTGGGCTAAGTTAGAAGCAACCCGGAATGGATCAATAACCAAACTGGATGAATTATTGGGTATTTGAACCAGGTATTGGCGCAGAAAAAGGTCTTCATCAACACCTGTCGTTCATACCAAAACACTTAAAGGTTCGTAGTATCTTCAACCCTTTAACTAAAAGACTATGAAAAAAATCCACACAACATTCATTCATTTGCTGATTAATAAATGGCCCTAAATGTTTTATTAAAATAAACAGAACATTACTTGTAAACCATTAAACAACAGCTAAAAATGATTTTAAAATTATTTTAAACATACCTTGAATCTTACCAGTTGGATCACGGTACAACCATTATATTGATCGGACGCTACATTTCTTGGTTCAGCATTTAGTCTGTACCAGAGAAACTACTGCTTCCCAGTATTTCTTTCACCAAAAATATTACCAGTGCCAATATTTGAATGTGCGGAAGTACATTTACTAGTTTTATCAGTTGGGGACAATGATGTCCTAAATTTGAATAAGCGAACGCTTCCTTCAAAACAGTCTAGGTATGACACTATGTCATATTGTCATAAGGTCATATAAAATCACGTGATTTATATAATTTCAGCCGGCATTATGAAGCACCAATTCGCCTTACATGTTTTAAATCTAAAAATTGTCGTTTTAAGACATCGTGTAACATTAATCACCTTTTATGGAAATTATATTTTATAATGCCGGCCTGAATTAAAAAATATTGCATAGTCATAACTTATGACTATGCAATATTTCTACATATTTTTTTTTACATTTTGTGTTTATAAAAATATTTTCACTGGTCATAAGTCATAGACCCTTCGAAATGACAAATGACTCATGTAAGTCATATAGGCAGGGTTGGGAAGTACAGTATTAGTTAGTACAATGATTAGTACAATTGGTACAGTATTAATTTTATCTAGTACATACAAAATTCCCAACCCTGCATATAGGTCATATGATGTTATATGCCAACACTGATGATGCATGCCTACTGATACCACTCTTAAACTTTTGAAACATGGTTCTGGTTTTACAACAACACCACTAAGAATAAATTTTAGACGAATCGAAATTTATGCCACGTATTACGCTAATTTACTTTATAATTTCAGATAGATGATATGGCGATACGTAATCGATTTTTTTTCGTTTTAATATCATTATTATGTTTTTTATAATATTATATTTTATAGTTATATTTTTATTAATGTATTTTTACAAATAAATCAAATAAATCAGTATTAAATTGTCATAAAATCGGTATTATAAATTAATGTTCGGTGAATGATCGTTAAAAATTCCAGTAAATATTCAGTTTTAATAAAATGTTCGTCAAAAAAAAAAGAATTTTTTTCTAAAGCCGATTGATGGATGAATTACAATTGATTTTTATATAAAGAACATATCGACTTTTTGAAACTTAGTCGATTTTTTGCAGAGCTTTGATATTGTTTTTTAGACGATTTTTAATTGTCCATGACGTGGTTTTTACTGTCGAGCATTTGCTGTATTTATATATGGTACGCCTATAAAGTTTTGCCTAATTAGACTAAATTTCATCCAATTTGAAAGTTTGACAAAATTTTATATTTCGACTAGAGCTTAAAATCCTCATTTTGTAATTACAATACTAGAATTGCATTATCATCATCAAGTTCTAAAAGTTTTGCTTTAAATTAAATTATTCAAAATTCTTTATTATAGCTGAAATTTTTATTAAATATTGCATCATTCATTACAAATTAGATATCTATAGGAACTTATAATATGTGTAATTCGTTACGACTTTATTTATTCTACCAAAATCATTGATAACTTAATAAAGATTTTAGTATTAACATTGCATTTGAAATGTCTAGAAAAATGTCCTTCGGATAATTATTCATTTACTTTATCAAAAAAGGTATTTATTTTTCTTGAATTATAAATATAAATGAAATACAGAGAATCTTGAAAGAAAATATAACAACGAATAATTTATTTGCCACGCTGAAAATTATTTAAAAAATACAAAAGAATTTATTGAAAATGCAATTAAAATATGAGAAATAATACATTGAAGAAGAAAAAAAAATGCTTACATCAATCTATGATGTAAGTTTACAAATAAAAAATTGAAAGAATATAAAAAAAAAAGCCAAAAACGTGTATAATAAAGTCATTTTCTAATCTTATTGGAAACCTTTCTTTAATTTTAACATCGGAAAGTGATCGTTTTCTTTTAAATATACCACATTTGTAATACAATTTCTGATTTGTTTTTTGTATATTCAATACTAATTGAGAAAATAGATACTATACATCAGCACATTTTAAATAAGTTTCGTGGAATTGATCCAAAGGTTTTGAAATGAGTATCATATCCGGATCGTCGATAGGTCAAAAAGCATTCCCATTTGATGTTGATAGATTGTCCAGAAGTGTATTTTGACATTTCCGCAAGAATATGAAGACGTTAGAGAGCAAGTAATGGATAAATTATTTTCTACATCGCTGTCATGTTTAATAGGTGAAATCATGTGGCCTTGATTATCTACATTAACAACTAATAGTAAAATAGATAAAATAAAAAATATTCTCATTATTTGGAAGTAAGTTTATTATGATATAAAAAGAGTTGACATATGATTTAGTGGTGTTGTTTAATAAATTTGTATATGTAGTCAATATAGTCTTCCAGAGAATTAAGTATGCCATGCTATTTGTAAGGAAATATTTGTTCTTTCTTACAAATTTAAATTGTTGAAAGAATGATGTGGAAAATTGCGGGTTTATATATGAGCTCCATCAATATAAAAATTTCTTTTCCAAAAAGATCGACAATCTAAAATTGGACGATATTAAAATTTATCAGAGACCCTCCAGCTAAAATCTAAAATCTAAACTAAGAAGGATTGCTTTATCGTGTAACATTATTTGTTTGTTACAACACAGATATTTGAACCTTGTCTTCTAAATTTAGTAGATAGGTGTTATTACCTCATATTCATTTCCAATCTATTAATTTCCCATATATTTAGAACAAGGTGTTTGTTTAATTTATTCTTTAGATTTAAAACTGTATGTTCTCCTAAATGAGATATTTAACCAGTCTTTAGTTAGATGTTTGCATCTAGCAAGTTGTTGTATCAATTTATCCGTACTTTAATTGGCATAATTCCAAAATTTTAAACTGAATGTTTCGTAGTAGTTTTTTTTTTCTTTTTTACAAATGTACTACTACCTATAAAAAATTTTGCCCAAATATTTCCAATGAGCCTTACACAGAATCCGTGTAAATGATATGAAAGATTTAAGATTATAAATTCCGTGAAAATACGGAAAAAACATCGAAATCAAAACACGGATCAACTTTTTTTTTATAGGTACTTTACCACAAAATAATGAAATCCGCGATTTACGAAAAATTAGTGAGATCTAAACTTTCAGAGTAATAATTGATTTAAAAGATTATATTCCTTTTTATCGATTAATTATAGCTTCTTAATAAACAAACACGCGATAAAAAACATTTACTATTATGTAATCATGTATAATTCTACATAATTATGCGATTAAACTTATTCTTACTATAGGTTTTTTAACTTGATAACTGATAACTATAATAAACCGTTACTTATTTTATAAAATTAACAGTAATATCGATAATAATATTTTGCAAACTAATTGCCAGTTAAATCCTTTTTTTTCGTTTGAATTCGAAAGTGGTTTCTTTGAATTAAATTCTTCTTGAGAATAAATTTAACAAGATGAAGTCTATCATTTTCTATACGTATATTTTACGATACAATGTTTCATATAGTTTGTAAATCAATTATGGAGCCACGCAGTGAATGCTTCTCACAGCTGGTATCACTTGGAAAACAATAGATTTTATTTTTTGAGGGTTAATAATGTTTTCTGATTTAACAAATAAAATGTAATTATTTGTCGTGAATAAAAAAAAATTGATTTCACTAATTTACTCCCAATGATCTGATTGGCTGGTATATTTAACTATATTATTTGTCACGTATTGAGGGGGGGCGACAAATAAACATCAACACCTAAAAAAAACACTACTGGTGTCACGCCGGTGATAAATCACCTAAGCCCTAACCCTAAACCTAAACCCTAACTAATCTCAATTATACCAGCCAATCAGAGCCTGGGGGATAAATTAGTAACCCCAAAAAATTCACATTTAAAAATTTTATTTATGGCAGATTTTCGATTATGGAATACACGATATTTTATTTTGTAATATTTATAGTGTATGACAAAAAAATCCGTAATTATAAAGCTGCGCATTATGCAAAAACTAATGATGCAAAATTACATGAAATTTATCTATTTGAAAGCTGAAAACAATCTATCAATATTTTTTGGCATTGTTTTTCCATGTTTCTCTTATAGATTTTCAATTGAATTTATGTCAGGATTGTTAGAAGGCCAACCAATCACTTCAGGAAAATTTTCCCAAAGAAATTTTTTAGTATGAATGCTAGTATGATTCAGATCGTTAACTTGCTGGAACTGCCATTCGTCTCATAACAAATCCTCAATTTCTGATAGATAATAATATAAAAATCAGCATCCATAATATTTGAAAAAATAATATAAACTTTTTTTTCCTTTTATGCAAAATCCTTCCTAAGCGAAGAATTTCGTTCGATCTTTAAGCTATGATGTATTAGCCTATTTCCTTTATACCAATGCTCTACTGTGTTGGTAAGCAGTTTCATCAATCATTATTAAGATGTTTTTGGGGGCTCATTCTATACATTTATTCTTATGGTTTTCAGTAAACATTGACGTTGCTCTTGAAAGTCTCTTTGATATCCATTATAAGCTAAATGTCTCTATCATTCTATAGAAAACTTCTATACCCCCTGAAGACAATATTGTTGCTTAAGACCTTGTAGAAATTGAAGAATCCCAATGGATATATTGAGCTAACTTTATGCATTCGTCTCAATCTTTCTTGGTCAACTGCTTCCTTCTGCACATTGAACCGCTCCAGATTGCTTGAGTTTTTAAGGTTATCGTATATGGTGATATTAGGTAGATTAGTGATTATGAATAGGATATCTTTAGCATTCTGAATGCCTTGATTCCATAATTATTGTATAGTTTGACGGTTAGTTCGCCATGTTTCTAATTCAAATAAATATTTGGAGGTTAAAGATAGCGATAGAAAAATTATAAAAATAATATTGTTAGTGATGTAAAATAAAAAGAACAAAATATGTAGCTTACCTAACAATCATATATGAACTTAATTTGGCCAAGATATTCACAATTTTATTCTACAAAAACATTTCCGGTTTTTTTTTGTCCCTTGGTCATATTTTTTCATTTTGAAAATTATACTTTTCAAGAAGTTGCCAGTCATAACGGAGGCATGTAATTTTTATTCTTTTATGCCTTTAATGATGTCTATAAAACAAACATTGGTTGAGTCAACCACTGTAAATTAATTTAAAAAAAATTCTAACGTGTCCTTTTTCTAATTAATGAACTTATCCATTAAAGTATTAAATAATAAAAAAAGGTTTATTGATAGAATACAGTATATTCAAAATTTTATAATAAAGAATTGAACTAGAATTTCTGCAGAAATTTCCTACGAGTTTCAATATTATTACGGTGTAAAAATACAATTCCGATGCAAATGCTAATTTATCTTATGCATATTTTATTATAATTATCAATTTATAGATTCGAGAAAGGATGTTAGTAGGGATATTACCGTTAAACTTTATCGAGTATTATATATAATGTTGAGACGGCCGTGGCGGTCAAATGCCAACTAAATACTGATACTTACTTATCTCTTTATTTTTATTATTAAAATATTGGCCATTTGTCCACGTGCAAGTGGCATCACTGCTTTAATCTTTTATTTTATAATCCCTTCAATTCATTAGAAAGAAAAAAAAATATTTTTTAATTACATGATCTTAATACGTCCGTCAATACGACGAGAAAAAAGTTTTGCTATTGAGCTAATTTAATATATACGAATCAATTCAAAAAAC